CAGCAGTCATGAAATTAAAAGACGCCTGCTTCTTAGGAGGAAAGTGATGACAAACCTTGACAGCATCTTAAAAAGCAGAGACCTCACCTTGCTGACAAAGGTCCGCATAGTCAAAGCTATGGTTTTTCCTGTAGTGATGTATGGAAGTGAGAGCTGGACCATAAAGAAGGCTGACCACCAAAGAATTGATGCTTTTGAATTTTGGTGCTAGAGGAGACTCTTGCAAGTCCCCTGGACTGCAAAGAGAACAAACCTATCCATTTTGAAGGAAATCAAGCCCGAGTGCTCACTGGAAGGACAGATCCTGAAGCTGAGGCTCCAATACTTTGGCCATCTCATGAGAAGAGAAGACTCCCTGGAAAAGACCTTGATGTTAGGAAAGTGTGATGGCAAGAGGAGAAGGGGACGACAGAGGATGAGATGGCTGGACAGTGTCTGCGAAGCAACCAACATGAATTTGACACAACTCGGATTTGGCAGTGGAAGATAGGAGGGCCTGTCTCTGGTCCATGGGGTCATGAAGAGTTGGACACGACTAAACGACGACGACGAAATAAATGCCATTTCATTGCCCTGACCCAAAGAAGAAAAATATCTAACCAAGGTAAATGGAGAATTTGCAAAGGATATACATAAAACATGTTAAGAGCAAACAGGTAATTTATGACATGTCATAAATGCCAGTAAATTGTGCAAGTAGTTGAAAAATGTCCACAATTTTAAAACACTCAAACTAAGACTTATTTAACTCCTATGTATTTTCACTCTTCCATTAGCCAAGTTCTTCCACTGTATGTGTACTATACTTTCTGTTCTATCACTTACCACAAATTTGCCTTCTCCCTTTTTGCAGTCCTAGGGCTAAATCCAACGTAACAGCCCAGCAGGAATCCTTGCCAGCTCAATGCTACAAGAGCCCATCGCTGGGCAAGAGGAAATTGTATGGACATGAGATGGTACAACTATTTGTACAGCCCCCTTACACAACAAAAACTGAACTGTCTGACACCATTACATGAACTGCAAACAGCAACTACTGCCATGGCTGGTGTTGCGCTACCACAGTGACATCACTGGATAAAGGCTGTTTTGACATGTCCAATTTAAACCCTAACTTTCAAGCAAAAAGTGTGCAAATGTTTTACTTGTTACATGTGATGAGTGAACTCAGTGAGTGATAAGTTTCCGTGGCAGAGATGAGTTCTTAATGCAATCAATGCAAGTTATGAAACTAATTTTTAATGATTTAAGTGGTAAATTAGTGCCACGTCTCTCTAAATAGGTATAGCTTTGGATTTTTAGAAGAGGTAGCTTTGGAGTATTTCTATTTCACCCCCATCTCAATCTTTTGCTTAAATCTGCTCTAGGAGGAGGAAGTAGATGTAAAACCAGCTGCAAAATCTGAAGCTCCTTTCACACACAAGGTTGACATGAAGGCCCGGTTTGAACAAATGGCAAAGGCAAGAGAAGAGGAAGAACAGAGGAGAATTGAAGAACAAAAATTGCTACGTATGCAGTTTGAACAGAAGGAGATTGATGCAGCATTGCAAAAGGTATCAGAACCTAGTGACCTTTTAGGAAGAGCATCAGATTTATCTATAGAGTAGCAAAACCTTTATCCATGAAATGAGCAAGTGTGAAAAAAGTACTTGTACTATTACAGTGGTGCCCCGTATAGCGAGGTTAATCCGTTCCGGATTAACCTTCGCTATGCGAAAACATCGCTGTACGGGGCAGGAAAAGCCTGTTGGAACGCATTAGTTTAATGCGTTCCAATAGGCGCCAAAACTT